AGTTAAATTGATCATCTAACAACTTTGTGACTACATCTGATAAAAAAATATTAACCGAAGAGTATCTTGAATGGTATTCTAAATTAACTTCGCCTATTTTGACACACAAAAAAATTTGTCCTATATAGATTATATAAAAATATAAAGAAGAGACTGGAAAATTAGATTAATTTCAAAATCTAAAGGTTCAATTATCAAACAAGCTGCGGGAATAATCTTTTCACAATTGTATTTCAAACATTCAATTAATAACTGATCAGGGAGTTTTTTTCATTTATATTAATAAAATTTTTTTTTGTAAAGGTCCAAATTTATCAATTTAGTTATAAACAATGGAAATTTAGATAAAATTTAAAACCTAAAGGCTCAATAACCAAACGAGCTGTGGGAATAATCTTTCCGCGATTGTATTTCCAAACACTCAGTTAATAATTATATCAATAAAAATTTTTTTTGTAAAGGTTCAAAGTTATCAAATTTATTGATTTTACTATTATTATAAACAGTGGAAATTTAGACAAAATTTAAAACCTAAAGGCTCAATGACCAAACAAGTTGTAAATAATCTTTCCGCGATTCTATTTCCAAACACTCAATTAATAGTCTATCAGAGAGTTTTTTTCATTTATATTAGTAAAAAAATTCTTTATAAAGGTTCAAAGTTGTAACAATGAAAATTTGAAATGTAAAGGCTCAATAATCAAGCAAGCTGTGTGAATAATCTTTTCGCGATTATATTTCCAAACATTTGATCCATAGCTTATAAGAGAGGTTTTTTTATTTATATTAGTAAAGTAAATTTTTATAAAGGTTCAAAGTTATCAATTTAGTTGATTTTGCTATAAACAATGGAAATTTAGATAAACTTTAAAACGCAAAGGTTTGTATTTTGAAGGAAAGAAAAGTAAATGGAGGGAGTCAAGTTATTAATATTGAAATACCTATGGTTACAAATGAGCAAGAAGACAAGGTCACAAAAAGTCTAACTTGGAGTTGCAGAAGGTACCCAAGGAATTGAATTCGAGACAGCGGGAGAGATATAACAGTCGAACGACAGCGCGAAATCGGGTTTTTTTGGAAAGGAACATAAACATGGGGTATGCTTGCTTGGAAGATAGATGTTCGCAATTGATCTTTTTTACTAAAACTATATTAGTTCTTTCCCAAGTAGGAACTTGCAATTAATTCATTTGTCGCTACGGTCTGTATGCTTGTCACCATTGCCATCAATGCATAGCATTGATAATTGTGAGGAATGTTCGTTCTTTCGCCAACTATCACAGTCACCTGGTAGGAGTCGGTGTATTGGTTTATAGTATTTTACTTTGGTATTTGAATGATGAGTTCACATTCCGATTTTTGTTATTCTATTTGGTTTTTTTACCAGTTAACTTTCGTACCAATTTCCACAAGAAATCCTCGATCTTTATACGATTCTTGATTGTGCTAGACGAGTATTTGATTGATCATTATAAAAAAACTTCTATTTGCGTAATAGATAGATGTTT